CTATCTATCTATGATTTCAGCTCCCCTGGCCATTTGGATGATGGGATATATACCAAAAATGATATGTCATAACATGACTGTGCGACGAGCATAAGTGACTAGTCATAACATGCAAATCATGTATGTATGTCATGAATGTCATGGTCTACAATCTATAGTCTTGCTGCTTTTCCGGTGGTTTTGTTCACATGGCATATTGAAGAACTGGTATGGTATGATGTGACTGCATGACGAACACAAGTGACAGACCATAACGTGTAAATTATGACATGTATGTCATGAATGTCATGGTCTACATTCTATAGTCTTGCTGCTTTTCCGGTGGTTTTGTTCACAAGCATATTGAAGAACTGGTATGGTATGACGTGACTGCATGACGAACACAAGTGCCAGACCATAACGTGTAAATTATGACATGCAGGTCATGTAAGTCATGACTACACGCCACGCTCATGGTGTGCTTGCGGTCGTTTCGCTAGCTTCACATGTACCAAATTTGGTATTACGGGACGTGAATGGAGGACGAGGGTAAATGACAAGTTCACCCATGATAATCATGATAGACGTGTCATGTAAAACATGACCACATACTACGCTCATAGTGTGCTCGTGGCCGTTTCGCTAGCTCCACATCTACCAAATTTGCAATCACGGGACTTGAATATACGATGAACGTAACCGACAAGTTCAAACATGATAATCATTACATGGGTGTTATGTAAAACTTGAGTATACATGCTACGATCATAGCATGCTCACCACCATTTCGCTAGCTCAAAATATACCAAATATAGTATCACGTGACGTGAATAGACTACGAAGGTTATTGACACGTCCAAACATGATAATAATGATTTGATTGGTATGTGGGGTTTAACGTTCAGGGGCGTTAAATTTGGGGTGTTGCATTTAGACAATCGTACTTAAAGAGACAGACAGACAGACAGACAGACAGACAGACAGACAGACAGACAGACAGACAGACAGACAGACAGACAGACAGACAGACAGATAGACAGACAGATAGATAGAGATAGATAGAGATAGATAGATAGATAGATAGATAGATAGATAGATAGATAGATAGATAGATAGATAGATAGATAGATAGATAGATAGATACTTATCCCACTCTAATTTTTCACTCAGAGCATTTGTATCTAGTTAATTGATCTGCAGCTTTGCAGAACAGGGTAATGTAATTTGCAAACTTCCGGCTTACGTATAGCTGTGTTGCGAAGCACCATTTATTATTATTATTATTATTATTATTATTATTATATTATTATTATTATTATTATTATTATTATTATTATTATTATTATTATTATTATTATTATTATTATTATTATTATTAACATTCCTACGCCACTGAAAGCGACAGGCTGATGTAAATATAGTTTTCCCTGGCCAAACGGACAATGGACAAAATTGGGCAACCAGTTATCCCGACGTGGGTGGACAGTAACAGAGGGCTCTTTGCCGTGCCGACGCGTTTTGCGCGGGGCTTCAGCTCTGCCGGAGCTCGTGCACATGACATCAAAGGCCTGCGGAGAAACGACGGGCTTGGGGAATTATAAGTATCTGCGGAACACAGCTGGCGCGTTGACCTGGTGGGCTCCCGCTCATTCGAAACGTCGGTGCCCCTTATCACGCTAAACTTGCCCTTTCTTTTCAATTAGTGATCAATACAGGTATACCTTGTGATCCGTATAGCATGCCACAAACACATGGTCGTTAGATGTGGTTAGTCTCAAGCGCTTGATTTCCCATGAGGGGTCATAAATACTTGCGGCACGAATACAAATTATCCATCGCACTTCTCGATCCACACTTATGTGTCAGATTGATTTTCTAAGTGCAATCAACATCTTAGGTCACTCTCTCATCACGAATTTACCCATAGACATAAATACACGGTTATTCGGTCCCTCTAGTCGCCACACATAAACCTGCGCTCATCGTACTGCATCTGCTAATGTTTACAAGTACGCGAGCAACATAAGTTACTCATGCAGAGCAACATCGCACCATATAAATGTCAGCACAAGAAACAAATGCAGCGATCATTGTCACCCTCATTTATAAACATTCCGCTTGAAACATTTATTGCACGTAATTGCTAATTGTGGCAACCTTTCGACGCACAATTGCCTCAGCAATCGTTTCGCAGCGACGTTCTTTAGGATCGTAGGAACTGACGGCGCTGAGACGGGAATAAACTTGCTTACAACGTGGTCGCAGACGCAACTGTTTCATCGCCATCTATAGCACCGTCACTTGTGTGACCAACTCGTTCAAGCTATTACGAGACTTTGGGCACAATCAAGGCTGGCCGGCTGTGGCAGTAAAAAGCAACGAATGACATTAGAAGCACTAAAATAACGGTAGCTTAGTAAGTTTAACTTGCATGCTCACGCCATTGTAGTTGTAAATTTTTCTTCAGCGTGACGTCTGCGCCTTGTTGTGGTAATTTTGTTAATTGTAATTCCAGACCATGGTTTTTATGCATATTGCGGTGTCACACGGGCCGTACTACAAACCTTTCAATATAGAAAACCGGAGCCGTCCCGACTTCGATTTCCCGTGGGGAAACTTGGGCCAGTTGGTAGGACATAACTGAATATATGAACCGCCCAACTTAAAAGTAGTTACAGTGTAACTACTTTTAAAATGCGCTTTTCGTATATTGAATTTCGCGTTCTAACTTTTATGTGACGCTGCACTGTTAAACGTGTACTGACACGATTTTGAGAGATTGCAAAAGGGACGTTTTTCGCTTTTTTTGTGTTATGAAGTGTAAACAGTTGCCACACACCTGAGTCAGTCAACATGTATAAAATAGTTACTTTGATGTTAAAGGTTTCACCGCTGAGCATCAACAAGTCAGCTTCACCGTAATCCCGACGAGTCAACACAGTTCCACTGTGTTTGCGAACTCTGCATCCCTCATGCAGCATTAAGCGCATAAATCACTGTCGTGGCCACTGGAGACAATGAACACATCATGATCTGTCACAAACAGATGGCAAAGATGCCGTTAGTGCGTCGCGAATTGCTGTCCCTCCTGACGTCCCTCTGCTATGGCACGTCATACAGAAGCCACCCCCTCTGTATCGAAACCGAAAGAGTCTTTAAGGTAGTGCTATAAAAATATATGAGATGCATTCTCAGTCCCTGCAGTTCTGTCTGTACGGTTCTCGAAAACCGTGTTCTTATTTAGAGTGACAACCCTAAAATATTTAAAATTCGTGTCAGTACTCTTTTAAGCACGATGTTGTGGGATACGATTCGGGCCAGGAAGGCCCTGTTACGATGGTGCTATAATGCGAAAAAAAAGGGGGGGCCCTTGTACGGTGCAGTTAGGAGCACGTTATAGATCCCGAGCTGGTCAAAGTTGATCCGCAGTCATTTATTTCATGACATATCTTGTAAGAATGTTCGTGTTTCGGAACATAAAACTTGCATGCTCCATTTATTAATAGCCTTATTGGACACTTTCCGGGGCCCTTCAGTTTTTTTTTTTTGGGGGGGGGGGGGGGAGGGATGTTGCGTCCCAAAACTACTGTACGATTATGAAGGCGCCGTAGTCGAGGGCACTGGAAATTTCGACCACCTGGGGTTCTTTATCATGCACTTAAGTCTAAGCCCACGCAGCCCTCCACTACGGCGTCTCTCATAATTATATGGTGGTTTCGGGACGTTAAACTCCAAATCTTATCATTTTTCGATACGGCAAGCACTAGGCCTTGATCGCTTGGCCTATCATACTCGCACCACCTCTAAGAGCCGGGTTTATCTGTGTGCATGCATTGCGATATTATTGGTCTTGTTTATCATCCAGGCATACTATGTCTGACCATGTCGTGTTAGATATTTTCAGCTACTGTTGATAGGCGCCGATACAACACGTGAGCAAATCCTGGCGTGATAAGACGTTTTGGCTTATCTGCGCGTGTTTTCCGTCACATTTGACACAGGAGCTGCGTGCTGCCATGTTTTTGCATTTTTTGTGAGTTTTTGTAATGACTTTCCAAAATTTTGAAGTTGCTGCCAGACTATGTAGGTGATCCAGAGACCCCGTGAAAGTCTGACAGGTTCAGATACTGTGGGTTGCTCCATAACCATATGCTCTGGAAGCAACAACTCATCACGTCTCTGTACTACAGCTTTTCTGTCATAATAAATTTTTCTCTCTCTCTTAGCACCTCAGCACTCGAACAGGGTATGACGATAAAATTTGCCACCGACTGAGCAGCTTCATTACACTTTAACCAAAGTTATAAAGCCCATGTGAAACAAGAGCTACATAATCTAGAACTATTGACTATATTAGATACCAGAAAATTGTTATGTGGCACATGTTAGTGAAAGCCGCTGACCGGCTAATTGCTAACACTGACGAACGATAAGATCTGTGAATTCTGCCAAAAGAGACTCTAACTCGCATTGAATATCGAAGCTGAAATGATTCATATTAAAGTGTTATGGTTCTATTTTATAACGGCCCTTAATGTAACATACCTTCAGATGATAACGGGAAAGATTGCGGCAGAGAGTATTGGGAACATAGTTACTCGAGAAATTTCACTTTACTTAATAACTAAGAACACTGCGGTTTTTCAATGCCCAGTATATTTTTGGCCAAAATATTTTATGCTAACAGAAATACAAAGATGGTCAGAATGATGAAAGCAGTGCTTGGCAGTTTTCAAGTGCGTCTGCTATGACAGAAATACAGACACCGCGGTATTTCTGTCATGTGTTCTGCAAGTATATTAGAATGCAAAATCAAACACTGGAAAAAAGCGGGGAGGTATCTCTTCAGAGGAAAGCATGCACTCTGCAGTGCTACGTTGCCGGGCGCTTACTGTGTTCCCTGTTCTCCTCCAATGAGGATCATTAACTTCGCAGCGCCGGAGCCCGGCGAGGCAGCGCGGTTGTAACCCGGCGGCAGCGAAGACCAGCACGAGATTTGGGGAATGAGCGTGGTGGCTGACCGTGTTTTCACAGCTGTCTCCGAGGTGGCTGCTGTGCTGGGCCGTCCGCGCCGACGCCGGCCCCCGGGAAGAGTTGCTGCAGGCGGCAGGCCGGACTCGGCAGCGGAACCCCGCACTCCTCGCGCTGCGGCCGTCTTCTACTCGGCGCTTTGACTGCGCCGTCCGCAGCGCGGCGCTCTGCCTTTTTTCCCCTCGACGTCCGTCGCCGCCGCTCCGCGCGCTCACGTGACGTACCAGTGCAGTGGCAGGAGAGCGACAACTGCAGCAGTCGACGTCCGGCCGACTTCCAAGATGGCGCTCGAAGAACCCGCCCATCAGAGGCCCCCGGCGAGGCCATGACGACCAATGGTAGACGTTGAATGGAATCACGTGGTTTTGCCGTAAATTGCCCCGCACTTGACCGTGGCTCGAGCTCTCTCCGCTTCTCGGCGCTGTTTGCCGGTTCGAAGGAACGGACCCCCTCCCTCCAACCCCCTCCTCGACGTACGCTGGGGGTCCCCACGCAGCGTGCGGACCAACACGGCAACCGAGAAACAACCTCGCGGTCGATAAGTGTCGCCGAGAGAGAACCCGCGCGCCCCGTGTTTGTTTGCAAAGATCAAGGAACTGAGTGATCATTTGGAGGGCCACCACTGCTCGGACTCCACATGCTCTCTCGCTGCTATCTCGAGGGCCGCTCTCACGTCGTGGTTGTACTAATACTTAAGCATTTCGGGGCCTCCAACAACTATTAACACAACCCCTTCACTTGTTATGGCAGTAAACATCAAATATTGAAAACGTTTCGATGCTTATAATCAACACTCGGTACTATGTGAACACACGTGAGGGTTAGGGCTTGTGTCACCATCGTCTATCATATCGTCACGTTCATGTTACTTCCGAAATTCTTCGAGGCTGTAATACTCTATGCCATCAACTCTCAAGTTCTTTGAAGTTGGCAACGAGAAATATGAGGCGGTTGGCGGGCAAACAAACACATATTTTCGAAACCTCCCTTACACTTGGGCGTGATCTTGTTTATAGTATTACTTTTGTTTCGCCCACATTCTGCTAAGACTATTTCAACGTTAGTCCCAAATTTTCTGCTAGCGGTATACTGGCTCCTGAAAGTGTGCCTGCTTGACTCCAAGTTAAAAAAACAAAAAAAAAACTAAATTTTGTGTTACCCTTTTCGGTGAGTTCAGTCTTGCCACATGTATGGTTCTCTTTAAAGAGACGCATAAACTCTATGTGGATAGCAGATCATTATACTCTCCTCGGAGAGTCGTTGAACCTGGAAAAGAGTTGGCGGGTCTCTTAAAAGAGAGTCCCGTTGTGAGTTCTCACTTCACATAAGGGAATCGAGAAAAAAGTGTCAAGCTATTTTGTTATCTAAGCACTGCCGCGTTTGCATCACTCTAAATTCATAGATTCTTGGAAAGGCCATATATATATATATATATATATATATATATATATATATATATATATATATATATATATATATATATATATATATATATATATATATATATATATATATATATATATAGCGTTCGCCATCTGTTTGGTTTGTGGGGTGTAACGTCTCTAAAGCGACTCATGCTATGAGACACGCCGTACAGTGGGAGACTCCGCATATTTTCGACCACCTGGGGTTTGTTGACGTGTACTACAGTGACATAATACACAGGCCTCTAGCATTTCCCTTCCACCGAAATGCGAACAACCAAATGGCGACCGTGTAGATGCCAGAGCTCTTTGAACACGTAAGAAAATGATCGGAATCATTCTTGTAAGAGAGAGAGAAATAAACTTTTATTGAGAAACAGTTTTTCGAGCGAGGCCCGGTATCACCCTAAGGTGGGAGGGTTGCCTAGTGCAGGAACCCTCTGGCTGCGACTGCCCTCTTGGCCCTGGCGACGAGTTATCGCTAGTCTTTCAGGATTTCGAGGACGAGCTTGACCTCCCATGTTTCGATTAGGTAGTCGTCGTTTACTTTTGGGGCTTGGTCTTGCTCCAGTTGCATGTTGTGGTTTGCATGGCACTGGAATCTCAGGAGCAAGTGTGCCAGGTTGCCTGGTACGCTGCCGAGCGGGCACATGTAGCCCTGTGTCGTGGGGTAGAGGCGGTGCATTAATATGCCATGTATGTAAGTGTTGCTTTGCAGGCGTCTGAAGATCGCGCTCTCTACTTTGGTTAGTTTTGTATGGGGTGGAGGGTACACCCGTCGCTACAGTTTGAAGTGTTGAAGTATCATTCTGGTAAGCTGGTGAAATTTAATGTGTCTAATGAGTTGTATGAGCAAATAGCTTAGCATAATATCTTAAACAAGGAAAGTGGTATAAGACGCAGTTAAAGACTGCATTGATTCTGCACCAACTGATCATGAATGAAGGAGTTAATTTCCTCCTCCTCGACTAGCTTCTACAGTAGCTAAGGAGGGAAGATGTTTGAGGTTTGGAATGGGTCCCCTCGATGACTAGAGTGCACAGTGGCAGCGCGAAAGCAGAGCCGTAGTCCGGAGAAGAGACGCTTTATTGCAGCCTCATGCGTCTCCCCGAGTCCAAGCCCGAACCTCAACTCTTCCTCTGCGCTGCCACTGTGCCCTCGAGTCATTGAGGAGACCCATTCCGAACGTCAAACATCTTCCCTCCTTAGCTAGTGTAGAAGCTAGTCGAGGAGGAGGAAATTGACTGAAGCCCTTTCGATTTAAAGAAAAAAAGAAAAACAACGTAGTACAAAAATTAAGCACAAAACAAAAAAAAAACGTTGTTTGCAGAAGAGGCTGAGTGAGCCATGTTCATTTAGGGATTTCCTTCCACCAATCCATATATGTATAACAGAGAGACTCAAGCAAGGAAAGTTGCAGATATGACAAAATTAAAGATATGCAGCAACAGTATGATTTTAGCGATCGTGAAGCCAAATACCTTCTACTTGGTAAAAAAAATGCTGATCAGGCAGTGAACTAACACAAAAAAAAAACACGCAGCTTTAAACTTATCTGTCATATCTTTATGTAGTGAAACGTGAAACCGCACTCACACCATTTTACTTGAAGACTCACCTTTTGAGGCAGTTGTACGGAATTGCGCTCACAACTTGTTTGTGACATTTGCGTCGACTATAGGGGCTAACAAGAAGCAAGCTATATTGATGTCTGGATGAAGTGAACCTCTACACAATAAGTGGGTCTTCAATTAACTTCATTTTGCATTGTATTCTTGCAAGTGGTCTCATTGCTTAATATTGCTACATGGGTCCTTACCGTATCATCCGCCAGGTAACCAAAATCACCCATGAGATTATACCTGCATCTGATCGAGACCACAAGCTTGCCTGCAACCACACCCAGTAATGTTCTGCCCGTCCGCAGGCTAAAACCTTACCACCTGCCTACTGAAGACCGTAGTTAATGTGCACCGAGACGGCGCTTTTACTGCCGGGGGGTAATGCTATATACGTAGCTGACATATTAGCGGTCGGAAGACGACAACGAGGAAGTGGTCTGTCGGTTGTGCGTGCTGTCCTCCATCTTAGTGGATGCTATACGCATCAGTGTCAATATAGATTCTAAATAGACACGCCTCGTGTCATTTTTACGTAACAATATTCTACCATAGTCGACGAGCTGTTCGGTCGGCGTGCCGCTTCCCGTGAATGAAACCGAAAGTGTACTTCTTTTTGACTCGAAAGGATTGTAAACGGAAACCAAGTTGCACAGTTTGTCTAGCAAAATACTTGATTCTATTTAGGCAGAACCAGAAACTGAATGACTTCTTTAAAACTGGGTATTCAACTACAATTTAATTCAAATCACCACAAAACCCAAATCCACGTATTACGAGAGTATTTTTGTTGCAAAACAATATTGAATGCTTTGTAATAAAGTGGTGCGTCGCTTAAGTTTGACGTTTAAACAAAAATGTTTTCATAGGCAATTTGAATGCCTTATAATAAAGTGGTGCGTCCTGTAAGTTTGACACTTTAACAAACATGTTTTCATAGGTGGCGCCTGAGAGGACTACATATACAAACTACTATTTTTTTTGCGGTCGCTCTTTTTGATTTCTGCTGTTTAGGGAGTGCTCTGAAAGTGGAATCCAACTTCGGCGCTAAGTCAGCTGGCATATGCGATGACACTACAAGATGCCCTGTGATGCCACCAAAGTTCGAAGACATGCCCGCCTCTCCAAATCGCGACTCACTTGCTGGATTTATTGCCGACCGGTTGTGCCCTCGTGATCTCCGACGACTGCACAGCTCTGGCCGACAGGGCTCGGCCTACGCCATCTCCTGACGCCGACAAAAGCTCTCACCGAGTAGTGCCCCGTCCTCGGACTCCTGCGACCATGCCCATCTTTCATATCTTCTCCTTACTTCCGTCGTTCGCTGTCCCTGCGCGTCGCTCTCTCCTTCCTCCCTTTATCTCTTTACCTTTTAATCCTATAATTTTAATACCTCCTTTACCCCCCCTCCTCGTGAGCTACTGTTGAGACGCCCTACCCCTGAGAGACAGCTACGGGGCCCACATTTCTTTTCTTTTCATTAAAAATCACTCCCCCCCCCCCTTCCAACTCGATACTCAGTAATTCTGCCCTTCAATGGCTTCACCTTTTGTTTGCGCTCTGGTGAAGTTTTCTGACAATTACTGCTACTGCTGTCCTTGCCTGATAGACAGCACACACGGCTATACTCACAGACGGACCGAGTTTCAGCCTTATTATCTGCGATGAGCCCACCGATACAACAACAGATACCTGAATATCCTTACTACAGCAAATATATACTTTCAAGCGCATAAAGGTAGCAATGAAAGCATATGAGCTCGCGATTTAGGCCCATTAAGTGCTCCTTTCATGGTGATTCATGATAGAGATGAGCATACTGCCCGTACGTTTACTGAGCTGCTGGTTCATGTGCAGTGTATACGTTAAATATTACTGCACTCGCGGCGCGTATGTGGGCACGTCATGTGTGCATTATATTTTTACTACTTTGAGGGCTTCCTTTTGAACGCGAAAAAATAATTACTTGATGTGTAAGTAAGAAGCTACTTAATTAAGTGTTCCCTACAGAATTCGAATTGCAGGTCCTTCCATTCACTGAAAGCACAATAGTTAATAAATCTATACACCAATCATAAAAGCAAGTTGAATGCAAGACATCGTGCCTTCTTGTACAATAACATGCTCTTGGCGGTGTTTCATAGTGATCCAGTACATTTTAAAAAACTTCAAGTTTACGGATAGGAATATCGTGTCCGTAGCTCTGTTTCGC